TCGTTCCCAGAGTCCTTAATTACGGGGTCGGCAAAGAGAGAAATCTACTGTACTCGTAACGACATTTTATCGCGACGAGAATGGAATTAACTGAGTTTTCAGTTTTCCTTCATCAGCATTTCTCAACGACAAAGACAAACACCAACCAGAATAATCTAGCATCGCGAAACTCATTATCTAGGTTTTTAAATATTGCTGAATTCACAAGCTGGTAACATCGCTGAGGTACGGTGGAAAGATTTATTGTACAACGTGACGGTGTTCTAGCCAATCACGGCAAAGAATCTGTTTTCTCAGCCAATCAGCTGCATGCAAATGCTGGTCACGTAATTTGATTCGCGTTCCTGGCCACGTTTATCCCGCGCTTGTCAGCGGTTACATGGTTTTGATTCAAGTTCTTATTGTTTTGTTTAATGCGCTACTTGCGGCTGTAGTGAATAATTTTAGACCTGCTTACCACACCGTGATAAATTGTCAATGAAAGGAAAAACAAATATCGGAACCTACAGAAGTGACTTTAATTAATCTTTGCTATATATTTGGACAGTTTCCTTCGCCGAACATTTTAATTTGTCGCTCAGCACGTGTGCACTTTTCACAGTGAAGAATTCCCGTGTTAAATCTGTGTTCTTTATTTTGGAAATGGAGACGAATTAACATTCACAACGGCGTGGCAAAAAAGCAAGCAAACCCCATGGAAACATAAAATCTTTTATTGCTATTTGGAAACAGAGATTAAATCTGCATAAATTAGCTTAACCGCCGGACAAGTTTCTAAAGGCTGCTGCTGTAGGAATATTTCTATCTAATTCTTCCTGTACGGCGGTTTTCATTTGATTTTATCGCCTGGCATCAGTAAATTTTCGAGAAAAAAAAGACGTCTCGTCTACAAAAGCACTCTAACATTTTCTTCACCGAGTTGGACTCATTGACCTAAAGGTAAGATAATATGGAATAAGCCATCGCCGCAAATAGATCCAATTTTGATCCGATAACTTTGTTTTTCCTTCTTTTCTTGCGAATCACCGTCACGTAGATATTTGTTCTAAGTGCGTGGTATCGGCAAGGAAAAAGTAACTTCCCTCAAGGTGTTTTTTTCTCGAGAAAAGTAACAGCTTTAGATTCAATTCGTCCTCGCGACGGCCGTCAGTCTCGATTTGAACTGAGCAAATATGGTTGAGAAGTTTTACCACAGGAGGTCGGTAAAGAGTATTCCTTCTCTTAGAATCATATTATTTCATTCACGCTGTACATTTTCAAGCTTTTAAGTAAACAAGAAAAGGATGGCACGGCCGGTAAATTGCGAGCAATTAGTTTATTGCGAGTTGCGAGCAATTCTATTGAAAAGCAATATATTTCTGTAGGTATTTTTTTGTTCCGAGTGAAGATTGTCTGTGATGGAAGATCCTGTTTGAGAGCACGCTTCCATTTTTTAAGTATAGCCGATAGTAAACCATGTAGCTTTTTAAAAGAAGCCTAGAGACCAGTCTTCAAACGGAACTTGTTTTAACATTTAAAAATGTAAGCAATTCATTGTTTTCATCTAATAAACTTTCGCACTCTTTCCAGTGTACTTATAATACGCTAATTGTTTCATAAAATTACATTCTCAATACGGGTTCTACTGCCCGAAATTTGACTCTGGCCGCCCGCCCAGGCGTTTATAAGAACGCGGTCAGCGTAAAACGCTGGTACAGTTTATTTTGTCTAGATCTAAAAATTTTGCGTCATTATCAAGGTCGAAATTATCTTAGGGAATTATCATCCATTGATATTCTATGCCTTTCTTCCTCCTTTAAACCCAAGTAGTTTGTAATGATTTTGATATTGTGTCAAATTCTGGCAAATCTTATATTCCTCTTTCTTTTGGCCCCATAAGCGAATCTCTTTCTATCATGGTCATATCTATATAATACTGAAAGCAGAGTATGTATACACGCGCTTACAAAGACAAGTTTCCAAAGCCCTAAGGTCTTGACAATTGTTATTTTATCGTACAGTGAGAGTTCTCTCAGAGACCATGCATTGAAGAGGTTTTGAACTTTACTCATTATCTTGAGAAATTTTCCCATTCACAAAGTGTTGAATTGTAGCAAAATGATAACTGCATTGAAGTTCGAATGGTGTATCACCCTTGTTTACATTTTTTCCAAGCCCCATGGCACTTTGCTTCAGTTACTGCAGTCTATTAACAGATCTAATAAATCTGGCAGCTTCCCAAGCCGTGAATACCTCCTTACATAATTTTAGACTGGTTGTCATTTGAGTGTCGAAAAGTAATTGGTTTTGCACTTACTACGCTTCACGATTGGCTCAAACCACTAGCGCCAATTTTTCATCCAATCAGAAGGAAAACCAAAGCCAACCGTGACTCGTTCGCACGCGTTTTCCCGCGTAATTCAATCCAAGTCTTATTGACTCACTGTATTGTCTATGTCCTTTGTGATTGGCTAGAGCGATGACTTTGGTTTTGGTTTTACGACACTCAATTGAAAACTACTCTATTTCTTTGTCAAAGACCTCAATTCCTTTCATATCTGGCACAAGCTCTCATAGGCGTTCGAGTTGAGGAGGGCGAGGATGGCTGCAGCCCCCCCCCTCCCCCCCGCCACGGAAATTATGGGTAAGAAGGGTAAGATGCTTCCAACATTGGGGGCCAGATCATTTTCGGCAGCAGCTCCGAAACTCTGGAATGGCCTACCTGAAGAGCTTTGTCAAGCAACATCACTTGACAGTTTTAAATCTCGACTTAAGACATCTTTTTTAAGAAGTATTTTTATAATTTATAATTTTATTTTATTTTTATGGTGATTGTAAAGCGCTATTGATCAGAATATGTAAATATGCGCTATATAAATNCAGTCATCAAACTTATGTGTTTGCTTCATTCCTTCTAGTTAAAGTTGTTTCTTACCGATTCAAGAGGCAAGACTTCATCTTTCAAGAATGTTCTTTTGATTGTTCTTGCGATGTTAATGCTTCAGTTGAACTGGAAACTTCAGTATCTTAGCCTGTGTAAGTACTTTAACTTACAAACACTACCGAGACAACTTTCATGGGATTTTGATTTGATTGACAAATGCAGCCTTTGATTGCTTATTTTATGATTTCCTGTTACTTCAATATATTCGTCAAAACAGGTTTGACCAATTAGATTAAACTTCACGTCTTCTCAACCAATCAGATGCGAAACCAAGCCAACGGTGAATTGGGTTCGCGACTTTTCCCGCGGTTAATATCAATATTTCAATCACAATGCGATATACTCTTATTATGATTGAACAGACGCACTTGCAAGTTTTAGCCAATCAGAAAAAGGATGAGCCCAACTTTACTCCTGCTAGCACTACCTACCATTGCTTGCATACTTTTTTACATAGTTTTTACATACTTTCTTGTTTCTTTTTTACTGCACTACGTGAGACGATAGTATTTTTCGCTTTTTGTTAGCACTGTAGCGTTACGACCGTCGTAAGAGATTTAACAATAAGTCTGTATGGTAGCAATAGGCCATCTCAGAGCTTTACCTTGTGCCTCGGTTTAATAACGAGTCCTCGTGCAAAAACCTTTCAAATGAAAGTAGCATGATTTACATGAAAATAAACCTGTACGCGGAACACATTTTCATATGAATGTTTCGTACGAAGACTCGCTTTGACACAGCGACAAAAGGCAACTTGGAAATGGCCTTTCGTCGTCCTTATGGATGGCTTTATTTCCATTTCTCGGTGCATCTTTTACCATGCTTTTCATGTACGTTTTTTAAGGTGAGAGTGCCCAAACAGCCAGTCTGGATGACTTTGTGTCATGTTCAAAAGGTGGAGAAATCATCACTAAAACTAGCGTCAGAGAAATAGGAAAACCACTCACGAAAAAAGGTACTTACTTTGCCATTGTTATTCTGGTCCATTCAAAAGTTTTACCGTAACCATTACCGTAAAATCTTAGTTGTCAGTGTTAAGCTTGCAAAGCCTCGGAACATTTAGGGTTTTTGGGTGGGTTTATATAACTGCAGTCAGATTTTGGCGGGATACTTAGCGGCCTGTGTGTCTTCCCTGCATTCCTTGGGCTACAAAATGTTCAGTCCATCTATAGCAGTCTTTCTCATTAAATGCCTCACACTCGGATGGTTAAGCTAAACGAACGGCAAGTATTTTATTTTTTTATGTGCGAATGCTCTTCTATTTGCCATCTTCTCTGTTTCAGTTTTTCTGACCATTGGAATTCCCACAGTTCAAAGAACTTTCAAAAACAAGACCGAAAGTTATCTGGTGGCAACTTTAAACTCACTCATAATCCATGGCAGCTCCGAGGAAGACCTCAAAAATATCTTAATCGTCGTCTTTCTTGCCGACTCAGAAGAGTCGGCTCGGATAAACGTCATGGAAGATCTGCGGTCAAACTTTGGTAAATACTTGGACGCGAATCTAATTCACGTCATTTCAGCTCCCTCCTCGTTCTACCCTCGTCTAACAGGACTTCAACAGACCCTTGGCGACGGTCCAGACAGAATGCATTGGCGTTCTAAGCAGGCTATGGACTATGTATTCATGTTTTATTACAGTCAAGGCCTGGCCCAGTATTATCTCCATCTTGAAGATGACGTTACGGTTATGCAGAATGCTTTGAGTCAAATACGGGAATTTATTAACCTCAGAGCCGGCAAACAATGGGGTATATTGGCTTTCTCCGGGTGGGGTTTTATAGGAAAACTTATCCGCGACGACGATTTGCGATTAATTGGCAGGTATTTAGAAAAGTTTTACAATGAAATGCCATGTGATTGGCTGCTGTATATTTATCTTCAATCGCGAGGTGGAATGAGTATATTGGACGATAAAAGCAATACTTGGACAAAGGAGCTGTTTCACCACGTTGGTCACCAGTCTTCCTCCCTTGGAACATGAACTAGTCACCAGTCTATTGATCATGTGGCAAACTCTCGATCTATTTAGCTAATCAGGCATCGACTTTCGATCGACACAAGTCTTTGGGAGTGTGCGCGCTATTTCTTAAAGGAGCTCAGTCAAGGTATTTTCAGTAATTTTGGCTACTTACAAAATCACTCAAATTTTAGGACACCCGAAAATATTAGTTTACAAAGATAGAAAAACACCAAAGAGATAATGATAAACCACAAAGAAACAAAGATGGTTAATGATGGAGAAGATTAACACGGATTACAAACGAGGAACTTGGAAAATTTTTGCTCAACTTTTCTAAGATGCGCAAACCGTGACGTAGCTCCTTTGTAATCACGTACCAATCAAAACGTCAATAAATCAGGTTCATCACTGTTCTATGTTTAAAAGTTGATTCATTCTTGCTCGGCTCTCGATAGTGCTCCCTCGGGTGTTCGGTTGTTATTGGGCGTCTGCCTATCAACTTTGATAGTAGAATTGAGACCTGGTCTATCGCCAACTATCTGCACAAAAAAAACCTTCGGGGTCAAACTTGAATCACTTAATGATCAACCTGTGAGCGCACGCCTACACAACAATTAACTCGGTTAATAAATCATTTTTCGTGTATATTTTACGTTAAATATAACAGTGACTGGGTTATGACTGTAAGGCTGCCCACCCTTGGTTCAGAGTCAGTTACCAGTTGACTCGATCGCAAAGGTTTTGAATGTTGATTAACGAATTTTCAAAATGCCAACTGAAGAGTACTTTGAATGAGTTGTCGCGTGAGTTGAATTCAAGTTGCGACAATGTGGCAGGTTCGGTTGCCGACCAACGCATGTGCCAAGGAAATATGAAGAAACGACGATGACTGTAGCTCAGTCAAATTATGGCGGGAAACTTAACCGCGCGTATGTCTTCCCAGCTTTCCTTGCTCCAGGACTTTCCAAGTTCGGTGTGCTATGACGCCCCTCTAAACGGTCGGGATGACAGTCAAATTTTGGCGGGAAACGTTATACCTGCGCGTCCGTCTTCTCAACGTTTCTTGCGCGACGAGACTTTCTAAACCACAGCGCAAACCATATATGGTCATTCGCTCACGTAACGAAGTCTTAGTTCGGTGAGCTATGACAGCCCTTCTGAACAGTCAATGTGATTTAACCATTTTAACAAAACCTCTACCACCCCGTTTGGCTTTGAGTCAACAGAGTAATTACGAGTTAGAACAACAGGCCTTATATAGCTAGTGTTCGGTGAAAAATGCCGCCAAAACAAGCTAGCGTCCTTCTGAGCTCGCTCTTCTCCATAAAGCGAACCGATGTCCACCCCTGTCACTTGCTCGGTTTTTTCGGACAATTCGAGCATTTTTATCATGGTCGGAACCGCTATCTCCATATAGACTTGGTGCTTTTGAAACACGGCGGAGAGTTTCTGAAATGCAACTGCGTGTTGTGAAGGAATGTAGAATAGATTTGAGAATCCCCGATAACACATGTTCAAACCACGTCCATTCCATAGCAAAGCATTCAGTGAATTTTCCACATCCCACGAACTTTCTTCCTGTCCCTTGCTATCGATTATTGCACGCTTGTAAGCGTCATTCAGGTAAATAAGCTCTTTATAAGCCTCCTCGCAGGCCTTGAGTCCCCACGGCGTATACCACCAGATCCAGGAATCACGCGTTTGCTGAAACATGACCTGGCTACCAAGCTGTCCTGAGCTTTGCCATATCCGTGATCGACTAAAATTTGCAATGCTCCAAATATTCAAGAACAGATCATTCCTCATAAATAAATAACCCGTAAACTGTGGTAGTGTGCTTGCTGCAGTACTCAGACACTCGTAAGCTGTAACCCCATGAAGCATAGAGACCACTATAAGTTTGTACTGGCCTTCCTTAGGCGGTTTGACAGGTCCGCAATAAACAATATTTGGAAAGCGATGTCTGTAGAGCTTCTCCAGATAAGGAATAGAGTCATAAAGAAATTCAACGAAAGCTATAACCAGTAAAATGTCGTCGAACTTGTCTTGTTTACAATTTCTTTCGCTGTTGTTCCCTCCACGGTTGTAACTGTTCTGTAATTCGCGTTTTTGATCGATTAGAATGCTGTCCTCATCAGCTATTTCAATTACTGGACTTATGTAGATAAACAGATAACCTGTTGGAAACAAAGTATCTTCATTACTTTAAATCTAAGTGGTCGCCATCTCAAAAAAGCGTAGAATCTTGAAAATATTAGGCTAATTTTTCAAAAATTGTTCCTGCGTAAAACTTCTTAAT